TTTATTGCAGTTTTTCATTTAAGATTTCATTATACATCTTTTCAGTATAACAATATAAATTTAACAAAAAATTCAGAATATCTTGAGTTTCACCAGTTTGTGCCAAACCTGGGCCCAGTTGTTAAAATTTTTTTATCTGGATCACAGTTATCTGGATTTGTAAATCCCTTGTTTTGCTGTCCAGGATTTTGTGCAGTTTTTTTCCCCAAAGCAACATTGGAACATTAAACATGACCTATTTTTAAGGTTTATTACATTTTGTTCCTAAAATCCACCCCCAATCCCTTTCTGTTGGGATCAGGATCACTTTGATTTTTTGGATCGCAGTATCCCAATCCTGCTAAATGGTTTTGAACAGCACGTACATGAGGTCTGATCCAGATCAAAACCGAAGTGATGATAAAAATAATGATCTAATCTAATTTCAGAACCATTTTTCTTTTGAACAACAATTTCTCTGATAGTCATGCATTCCAGAATGGTTTGAAATGTGCGAAATGCTTCAATGGAAGAATAAAATCTGACCATCACTGTCACAATATCTCTACTCGCACAATTTCTAATTAATTTAACTTTCATTTACTTTTAATTGTTTCAGAATTCTTAAACGAAAGAAAAATTTTAAAATGCATTTTGAGATTCTGTGAAAAAACAACAACTGACAATTGCACCCCACTCTGTGTAAAGTTTTAGCTTTTAATTGTTTCAGAATTCTTAAACGAAAGAAAAATGTTAAAATGCATTTTGAGATTCTGTGAAAAAACAACAACTGACAATTGCACCCCACTCTGTGTAAAGTTTTATAGCTGCCTGCTTATTTTTTGACATTTCTCGTCTTGTCATGCAGAAATCTGATTTTACTCTCTGCTCTTTTGGCACTCTTCACGCTCTCATCCCTTAGCAGAGGTTGAGTTGAAATACGTGCTGTGTGACGGCAGTATTGGATGTAACAAAAAAATTCCTATTATGTCTCTTGTTTACTTTTGGTGCTATTGTGGTGATTGTCTGGGAAGCTCTGGGCATCTGCATTCTGGCAGGCACCAAATCTAATTTATTTTCGAGTCATTAGCACATCCTAGTATGAAGCCCAGCAGTAGCATCTGCTGTATCACTGTGGTAGGATCTACAGGGACCTGCACAATCACAGTCCTCATAGTGTGCATTCTCTCTTTATCTCTGCATGCTTATTTTGCCACCTCTCTGCCTCCATTCTGTCTCTTACACTGGTTTTCTCTTTCTTATCTCCCTATTGTGCTCCCATTCGGTCTCATTTCACAGTCTTTTTAAGGAAACCCATACAGATGCACTGATGCTGTGGTTGTCTGCACAGTGAGTGGGATTCTGCAGGTGAGGCGTTTTATCTGCATTCGCAGAGCACCACTGAGAATAAATGAAACACAATTTCCCACTCATCTCCCTCACAGCATTTACAATGTCACCTATTAATATAATAGACCTAATATTACCACCCAAGCAAACAAAAATATGTCGTAATCAGTGGAAACCGATACAGTGTTTTCTATCTAAGCTCGTGCGTTCAGTCAATAAAAATCGAATAGTTCTTAATTTGTTTGAGAACTGAGAAAGACCATATCATATAGTCGTGGCCACATAACCACCTCGGGAGTGCATTATTTCTCTAATAATTTTAACGGCCTGGAGTCACAACCACACATCAAGACTCGATGGTATCGAGGCAATTCGGTCGGTGCCTAAAAAGTATCGAACTCGATACCCAGCCCTAGTCATCAATCAGCAAACCTGGGCTCTAAAAATGTTTCTTTCTCGCACAGATTTATAGAAGAGCCAATCAATCGTGATTCTGGGGTGTTGGTCTACTAACCTCTATCTTAACATTCAGGCCACAAACCAAATACAAAACTCATTCTGACATTTGTTTTCATTTTTACCCAGACTGTTTTGCTGAGCATATACACCATCATCCAAAAGTTTGGGGTCAGTAAGATTTATTTATTTTTTTAATCAATAAAAAAAGAAATCAATACTTGTAATCGGTGAGGGCACAATTAATCAAAAGTGACAGTAAAGTCATTTATAATTCTACAAAAGATTTCTAATAAAAAAAAATATTTTAAACGTACTATTCATCAAAGAATCCTGAAAATTTTTAAGCAGAACAACTGTTTTCGAGATTGGTGATAATACTAAATATTTATTGAGCACTGAATCAGCATATTAGATCAAGAAACTGAAGGTTGGTGAAAAGATGCTGATAATTTAGCTTTGCCATCACAGGAATGAATTACATTTTTAAAATACTACAATAGAAAACAGTTATTTTGAATGATAAATAATAAGTAAGATTTCACAATATTATTAGTTTTACTGTATTTTTGATCAAATAAATGTTGTCTTAATGAGCATAAATTATTTCTATCAAAAGCATTAAAGGGGTCATCGGATGCCCATTTTCAACATGTTGATATGATTCTTTAGGATCTTAATGAAAAGTCTATAACATACTTTGGTTAATATTTCTCAATGGTAGTGTAAAAAACAAAATTTTTTACCTTGTGAAAAACAGCTCTGTTCACAGCAAGCCGTCTCTTCCATGCGGTGACGAGCCGTTCTCTGAGACTGTAAACTTTAGCCGCCTTTAGCCGTAAAACTTGCTAACTAGCACATTATTAGGAAAGGTGATTTGCAAAGATTCATAAAAAAACCATATACTCACTTCTTCTGTAGGTGAAGCTTGATCACGAATGATTTGCGCGAACATAGACACATTTAGGCAGATCGGGGGGTTCATTCTCTTCAAAAACAAAAGTAATCCACTGCGTCTTCGGCAGCTCAGATGTCGGGAGTAAATGACGACTGCTATGTTCATTATTACATCCAACAACAGAACACCTCAATCACTTAGGAGACATTCTTGTCTACCCCTGCTCCGGCGCCAAAACAATGGTGGATTTTTATCATTATAGGGTGGTTGTGTACTCACACGGCCAAGACACATTTCAGTTCAAACAGCATGTAAAAGTGAATTTTGCATCCGATGACCCCTTACAGACCCCAAACTTTTGAACGATAGTGTACTTTGAAAGAAAATTTCACTGGATGAAAGTAATGACCATTTGGACTGTGCGTTGATTTTTTCAGATTCAGTGCTGATTCACAAGCTCTCTATTCAATTCTGCTTTCGAATCCATTTGGATTATTTCAGTTATAATGTCCTTTTTACTTGGAGAATGTGCACTTTTACTTTAGAGAAAATCTACCACATTTACTGTTACTCTACAAAATATTGTGTAAAGTCCAGTGATTCCAATAGGAATCTTCACGTAGGAGTTTCACGTTTGACTTCTTTGTGAATTGTGCTTCATACATCTTTCTTTACTCTTGAAATTTTGCTTTATTTCCAGTAATGTGCACTGCACTTAATGCGCTAAATTATACAAGGACAACGTTTCAAACTAGTAACCCATCTTTTTAAACTATTCATTAAAACAGTTATTTGTTGTGTAAATCATATTGCACTATAGCAATTCTGTAAGTTTTTGATTTACAAAAAAAGGATCCACAACTCATAAGAGCCATTTGTTCATTAATTGAACTACAGCAGCGGCGGACAGTAACTAAGTACATTTACTTGAGTATTGTACTCAAGTACACTTTTTGAGTATCTGTACTTTACTTGAGTATTATTTTTTCTGGGAACTTATGACTTTAACTTCACTACATTTGAAAGACAAATATTGTACTTTTCACTCCACTACATTTCTATCAAGGTCCTCGAAGTAGAAAGTCGTTACTATGTGGCAGCTTTGAAAGTCAGTGGGTGATTTTTTTTCTTCTCTAAAACGTGACTTTCTTTTTTTCAGACAGTTTATCAGTAATCCCTCTTGTACTACATGAAGTGATTTCCCAGCATTTTTTGAACACTGACCAGTTGCAAATGCAACAATTCAATAATAAGAAGTTAATATTGTGGTATACATTACACACAATATTGTCTGATTTTGCTAAATTGTGTACGTGAAAATATTACCTATAAAGCCACAGAAGAACTGTTGTGCCTCTCCTAATAAAACACAATAGGTGTTGGACTTGAAGCAGAACTGCACAGTGTGTGACATCAAAGTACAGCGAGAGCGATTAGACAGCATTTTTCAAATTTAAAAACTGTCTTTACAACTTTTACTTGTAATGGAGTAATATTTGACCAGCAGTATCTGTACTTTCACTCAAGTAATGGAGTCGAGTACTTTGTCCTCCTCTGATACAGTGATGCTGTAGTGTGATTCCTGCAACAAATGATTTTTATGAATTTGTTCTTTTAATGAATAGTTTAAAAAAAAAACCGAGCTACTGGTGCGAATTAGTTACTTGGTTCTAAAGTGAAAGATTTCCTTAGAAACCAAAATGCTCCTTTAGGAGCAATAAATGCTCTTTTCTTTTTTTCAACTGTTTTAAGCAGCCATGTGGGAACCCGTGATATGCTGCTAATGATAGAACAGTCTCACCTCACAAAAAGGTGATTAAACAATTGAGTTTTTGCCAACACGTTGATTTCCTTGTAGTGTTGCCATCTTTGTTTAACAGCTATGAAGAAGTAGGTGGATGCATTGAATGACAGCCATAAACCTGAATATGTGTGAATCTGTGGAAATCATCAGAGACACAATGTGGGTGGCTGCATTTGCTAATTTGTTATCAAATTGGATTTCATGCTAAATATAGTACGTTATTAATCCACCTATCCACCGTTGGCCCCCAGACGTCAGTCTTCACTTAAATTAAAGATGTCTTCATGATTCGCACCACACAACTGTGGTCAACTCGCCATGAACTATCAATTCATCATGCTTCAGAATGATACAGTTGTTTTTGTTCGTCTAAAGTGAATTCAGAATGGAAGTTTCTGTCAGAATTGTCACTACCAGTTTTTATTATTCTGAGTGTAGTGTTTGTCTCCCTTGTGTCTTTCTCTCTCTCTTCCCAACTTTCTTTCTTCCTCACTTCCTCCTTTTCTCTCTCAGATCAGTCAGATGCTGGGGAATGAGATCAAGTTTGCGGTTCGAGAGCCTGTGGGACTGAGGTAAGACAACATCCCTGTGCTGTTCTGCCGCGCTCTACACCGCAGTGCTTGGGGGAGTTTGCTCTTATAAACCTCATTTATTATGTTCTGCCTTGGGTCACCAATGCAGAAAATAGCAGGCCTTTAATTAAAGCACAGTTATTTTGACAGGCCACAGATGAACCAGCTGAACCCTGGGCTTGATAATTGTACAAATTCAGCCGCTGTTTAAGTTACGCATATCATTTTGTCTGTCTCTGGAATGGATACTAAAGCAAATGGTTTATGTAAGAAGAATCCCCTACAATATTATTAGCTTCTAATTTATGTGCATTAGCTCAATTTGAATTTTGCACTATTCAAGAACATAGCACATTTCTAGAATATATACAGTGGGGTCCAAAAATCTAAAACCACTTTTGAAGCATTTTTGTTATTAAATGCATTTTTAAATTTTAAATGACGCTACTGTCCAAAAGTTTGAGGTAGGTAATATTTCTTTAGTGTCTTTGAAAGAAGGATCTTATGCTCACCTAGGCTGCTGATCAAAAACAGTAATATTGTGAAATATTATTACAAATTAACGGTTTACTATTTGAATATATTTTAAAATGTCATTTATTTCTGTAATGGCAAATTTGAATTTTCAGCAGCCATTACTCCAGTTGTCAGTGTCAGATGATTCTTCAGAAATCATTCTAATATGCTGATTTGGTGCTCAAGAAATATTTCTTCTTATCATTGTTGGAAACAGTTGTGAAACATATTTATTGGACTGTCCTGCCTTTAATACAAGTAGACAGCATTTCTATTTAATAAGCTCACTTTGTTTAGTAAGATTTTTCCAGAAAAGTTTTTAGTTTTTTATAATTTTTGTCATACATAAATGTTAAAATATTATCTTTGCTGTGTTTTTCTTTTTGTTTAGTTTTTATTTTACTGTATATACGATCGACTGGATTCGAGTCCGTCTTTTGCCAAACTCTCTTTTCTTCCTTTTCTCATCACATATCACATCAGAAAAGTGGAAATCAATTGCTTAACAAGTGTTTAATAATAATGTATTAATTAGGGGTAGGCAGGCTATAGGGAGGGCTTTGTTGTCCCAATAAGGCAGCATCTATTTAATAATTTCAATAAATAAAATCATTGTTATTAAAATCAATGTTATTATTGCATCCTGTTAATGTACAACAATACTGAAGTGCAAATAGTATCTGCCACTATTTATAAGTATAAATAGCATCTAATTTTTTCTCGAAATGTAACGACTTTAATCTCGAGATGGTTTTATTTTTTTATTATTGCTTGGCCCTAATCCTCTTCCGTAATTTTTTTAAAGATTCATTGATAAATAGAAAGTTCAAAATAACAGCATTTATTTGAAATATAATTTTTTGTACCATTATAAATGTCTAACTTTTGATCAATTCAATAGATCCTTGCTGAATAAAAGCATTTATTTTTTACAAATAAAAAATCTTACCGACCCCTAATTTTTGAAAGATAGTGTGTATATTATCAGCAATCTGCATAACAATTAGAGTCAAAATAAACATGGATTTCAAAATGTCTTAGTATGGGTTTGTCTCTCTTTTATTATAAGGACAGCAGCACTGTATAAAACCTGATGATTATGTTCTCCAGCATGATTTGAGATGATCCAAAGAGCTTCAATGGTAGAGAAACATCTGACCATCTCTAAAGAGTCATATAAATGTCACAAATTAAGTTTAAGTATTTGATTAGTGATCTAAAATTGGTCAGAATCTAAAATAGCTCTTATTCATTTTACATTCAAATGTTTCTTTAAGTTTATTTCCAGGTTTAAATGCAATCCCAGATCCAGATGAATCCCAGATATTTCATCTCATGCTTTTGAACCCCTCTGTACTATATCTCATTGCCCTTGGCGCTTTAGAATAGAAGATTCACAACCAAAGTTAGCTGTCTTTTCTAACTGACTCTGATGTTTTTCCTTTCTCAAGATTATGGATCCTCTTCTCCGCTGTGGTTTTCACAGTCATGGCCCTTATGGTAAGTTTCAATACTTTAAGCTTTATACAGGACCAGTGCTCTCTTACTATCTTTAGTATCATAATGAGTCTATCAATAATTTATTTTAAATGTGTGATTTATAGGCTCTAGCCTTCCCTAACCAGCTGTATGAAGTTGTATTTGATCAAGAACAAACAGCCACCAGTGTCTCTATACGTCTCTATGGAGGGGCCATTCTCAGTAAGTCATATTAATTTCATTCTGTGTTTTAATAATGCAACGTAACCTAATGATCTCTCACACTCTCAATTAGAGGTTGTCATGTGGTCAGCACATCTGTTGATGGGCTGTAAACAGACTCCTCTATGTGTCTTTTTACTCTTCTACTCAAGGGGCTCCTTAGGATGTGTTTTTGTGTTTGTTATGTGAGTTAATGGCCAGTCAGCCAGTGGATTGTGAAGAGAAGCGAGGAGGAAATATTCCCTGAGGGGCGGCATGCTCTCCGCTGCTCATTCATTTAATTGCACATTAAATCGGACTCTTTCTGGCCCACTGCGGACAACGAATTTGCACAAATTAGTAGTGCAATTATTCCTCTCTATACCTGCTCCCTTTTCAAATCTTGCCCTCAAAAATTAAATAGATGAGATTAGACTTGTGCCGGTATTCGGTAATGCGATATATCACGGTAATGAATATGCACGATATTGTTATCGTGGGCACTTCTAAATACCGTGAATAATTATATATTACAAATTATGCCGAATTTTGAATGCATTTTAAGAATACTTTTCCCATCAACTGGTCAAAATGCACAACACGGCTGTATGCTGCGTGAAAGACGCATGCGCACTCTGATGTAAACAAGCGCAGACGAGAAGCACATGGCTGAACATGTGAGAGACGCTTTCACTCTCTTACAGCAGATGGCGCTAAACTGCAGAAATAGTAATAATAATAATAATTCATTTAAATGCAGCCGTTACCCCGGAAACCCTGTAAACAAAGCAGCTGCACTACTTTCTGTTTCTGAATCATACGTACCGTGATAAAAGCATTATCAATTCATCGCAACATGAAAATTTGATACCGGCATATCCCTAGATGAGATGTATTTTAAATATTACTCATTTAATTCTCCTGGTAGTTAAGTCTGTGTCAGCCGCTGTTCTCTGGTGTCTCCGGGTGAACATTTTATGTCTCAGCCCCCCGGTGATAAGTTACCTTTAATTAAGTGTAGTTCACTGGAACAGTGAACATTTGTGTCATCTCACTCAACATTTTCTCTTTTTGTCTACCATTTCTAAAATTCACTACATTTAGGCTATTCGTTGGTTTAACCCTTGTGTTGTGTTCAGAACCCTTTCACACTAAACGAGGTTACAGAGCAAAAAGGACCCGGCCTCAAAAATGTTATACTCTTTGTGAACAAAGTCACAAAATTTCAGTCCAATGCGATAACATTAACTAGTATTTTCGGGGAAAATAAAAAATTTTCAGAGCAAAAAGGACCCGAACACCACATGAGGGTTAAACTTGGAAAATTAACTAAACTAATCTGAAATATCATCTTAACTCGTATTTAAAACATTCTAAAGGGTCATTTGTCTTTAGTATATACAAACTACAATCCTGATAGTTTGTATACTTGAAGCATATCAATAAATGTTGGGACACATTGTAATGTTTAGCTGTTACAAAGCTGTTCTTGTTTACTTGCACTACTGTTCTAAAGTTTGGGGTCGAAAGTCTGTTATTCTTACCAAGGCTGCATTTATTTGATCAGAAAGTTTTATGTGTTAATATACTTTAAAATGTAATTTATTCCCGATGGCAAAGATGAATTTTCAGCAGCCATTACTTCAGTCTTTAGTGTCACATGATCCTTCAGAAATCATTGTAATATGCTGATTGCTTAAGAAATATTTCTTCTTATTATCAATGTTGAAAACAGTCGTGCTGCTTAATATTTATTTGGAAACCGTAATGCATTTTTTTTTTCTGGATTCTTTGATGAATATAAAGTTCAGAAGAACAAAAGAATCTTTTGCAACATTATAAATGTCGTAACTGTCACTTTTGATCAATTTCATACAATAGAAGTCAACAAGATCTTACTGACCCTAAACTTTTGAATAATAGTGTACATATACTGTAACACAGTGGTTCTCAACCTTTTTTTCCACTGGGCCACACTATGGTCCAAGTGCAAGTCTCACGGGCCGCACGCATATCATTTACATATTATGTCACCAATACAAACCAACCAGATTTATAATAGCCTATTATAGCCTAAATATTATGATATCTAATCGATTACATTAATTGAAATAAATAAATAAATAATTATACTCACCATTAATAAAACACCTGATGCTGTTCGGGAGCTGACCAATTTTATGAAATTCGGCTCGAAAGGAGTAACAGCACAATGAAGTTGCAGAAAATGTGCGTTCACAAATGTAGCCTATGTTGATCCAAATATGGAAAGCACTTTCGAATTTAATAATCTGAGGTTCTCTCCATAGATGTTTTGCCACATTTCTGCAATTAAGGATGATTGCTGCATAGTATGGGTGTTTCCTTTTGCCTGAACTAGAGCCCTGCATTTCAGCCTGGGCCCGACTGGCCCCGACTTTTTTACGCCCCTATGGCTGGGCTTTGGGACAATTTTCACGTCATAGTTCAGACGCGGGCTGGGCAAGGATGAAGTTGCCGATCCTGACTCGCCATCTCCTTTAGAGAGAAGTGCATCTTTACGGATTATGATTATAATGAAAGAGTTTTTGTTTTTGATTTGTTTTATTTCGTTAAGTAGTGATTTAAAGCTTTCTATAGATATATTTATCATGTCTGTTTGGCATGTATTCGCTGAGTTTCGGATCATTTTTGTGAAGTGCTCCTGTTCAAGACGAGACGGCAGAAAGCGCATTGTGTTTGTTTTCTTTATTTTATAAAAGCACAAAATAAAAGTAGACCCTTTACAGCTACGAATGATGTATTACTCTTACCTTTATGAGCAAAAATGACGGCATATCCACTGAAAAAAATGCAAGTGATCGCGCTGGCGCCTCTATGTCATGCAAAGCGCGCTTTAGCTTCCACTCTCCGAACAAACTATTGGATATAGTGCACATTTATATAGGTTTAACGTTAAAACATTGTTATATGCTTGAACTGTTTTATATCTATAGATTTTATTTTAGGCAAGTCGTGATGATTTGAGAAGGCTAATTGATCAAAGGCTATGATCAGCTCACTGTCTGCCGCTGGCCGCTTGGTCGTTACTTTAAAAAACAAAAACTTATATTTAACGACCAAAAAATGCTCCAAACGTTTTTCTAAATTAACTTAATAAAAAAACTAAACTAAATATAATCACTTTGCCATTACATACAAAACTGAACTATTTTAATATAGCTGAAACAGTAGTATAAGCTGTTTTGGGAGAAGGGGGAAAAAAGAGGGGCTCGGGTCGGACTCGGGCCGGTAATTCTGATAAGCTGTCGGACAAGGGCAGGGCTAGGGCCTGAATGTCACGGGCCAGGGCCGGGCTAGGGCCTGAATGTCACGGGCCAGGGCCGGGCTAGGGCCTATATTTGAGGCCAGTGCAGGGCTCTAGCCTGAACATCTTCAAGTGAGTGGCGGGGCAAACCGAAAGTTGATGCCGAAAGTCCAGCACTCTCCTACCTTCACTGCTGCGACTACTCTTGTTTGTATGTTCCTTCGCATTTTCCACATTTCGCTTTTCTCCCTTAATAACAAATGTCCATTCTGATGCTCAATTTTACCGAACTAATGGCTGCTGATGACTATTTGAGTTGAATTCTGCCAAAGTGCTCGCTTGTAAGTGTTCGTTAAATGCGTAACGTTAATTAGGCTATGTGAGTTGCCAACAGGTCTGCTCATGTCTGAAAATAATATATGAAAAACTAAATAATTTTACATAAACACATTATAGCTTATATTTGTTTAGTACATTTTTAAATTAATGTAAAAACTAAACTGAATGGTAAAACTGAAAGTTATTTTTTTAATTGTGTTCAGCATGGTGGGCCGCATTTGAATTTGCGACGGGCTGCGGAGAACCACTGCTGTAACACTTCCTCATTTATGTGCTTCCTTTTTGACAGGTCTTTCTCTGATCATGTGGAATGGCTTGTACACTGCTGAGAAGGTTATCATCCAGTGGACGTTACTTAGTGAGGCCTGCTACTTTGCCATCCAGTTTTTAGGTTTGTATCAGTAAGAACTTGAGTCTAATGCATGCTGTGTCTTGTCATCTCTAGATGGGCCCTGTACTATCATGATGCCACTGCCCTCTAGTGGTTATGGTCTATAAACAGATCCATTCAAGTATATACATGTACATTGTAACATACATTGTCTATGGCTTATTGCACATATGCAATTGGTTAAAACATTTTAAAGAAGTAAAATTAATTTCTAATTAAATTATTAATTTTATATAGAAAAAAAGAGCACAGAGTAATATAAAAGACCAAAAACAGCTGTATGTTGCAATGAAACAGGTTAAAGGGTTAGTTCACCCCAAAATGAAAATTCTGTCATTAATTACTCACCCTCATGTCGTTCCAAACCCGTAAGACCTTCGTTCATCTTCGGAACACAAATTAAGATATTTTTGATGGAATCTGAGAGCTGTCTGACCCTCCGTAGAGCCACTGATGTCACATGGACTGTTTTATTGATGTCCTTACTACGTTTCTGAGCTTGGGAACATTACAGGTGCATTGCTGTCTATGGGAGGGTCAGAGAGCTCTCAGATTTCATCAAAAATATCTTAATTTGTGTTCCGAAGATGAACGGAGGTCTTACGAGTTTGGAACGACATGAGGATGAGTAATTAATGACATAATTTTCATTTTAGGGTGAACTAATCCTTTAAGGGGTCTTTATACAAATATGTTGCAGCAGTTGACCAATCGGAATGAATTCTCAAGGATCATGTGACACTGAACACTGGAGTAATGGCTGCTGAAAATTCAGCTTCGCCATCACAGGAATAAATTACATATTATAATATATTATTATAAGTATTAGTAATAATTATAAGTTATTTAAAATCTAAATAATATTTCACAATACTATATTTACAGTATTTTGATTAAATAAATGCAGTTTTGGTATGCATAAAAGACGTCTTTCAAAACATTACAACCTGAAACTTTTCAACGGTACTATAAAGCCCCATTCCCACCAAGAACGATAACTATAAAGATAAAGATATTAGCGTCCACACCAGCAGAAAATATCGTCTGTTTATTGTAAGCACATGCTCGTCTGCCGCATAAAATTCTCGAGCTTGTTGTAGCAGGATGGATTCTGATTGGGTGTCAATGTTTGTATTGTTCATCAGCTGGAAAAAATCGTTCTGAAAGTGATTCCAACGATATCGTTTCTCTGTGCCTTTATCGCTATAGCTGTGGTGTGGACTCTGCTATTCTTTAATATTGAGAATTTTTAGAACTATGTCTTTATCGTTATCTTTATAGTTATCGTCCTTAGTGTGAACGGGCCTTAAATCTAATTAGTCATTGTGATATTTATAATACATTTACCATGTGTTTCCTCAAAACTGTCTTGAAATTTGGATCACGTATATCTTCGCTTCACTATGTTGCAGTGACCTCCGTCACTCTGGTGGAACTGGGCTCTTTACCAAATGGTGCCGTCCTCCTCCTCCTCAGTCGCATATTCTTCCTCACGGTCACACTGTCCTACTACTACCATCTGGGACGCCGGCCCAAGAAGATCTGAGAGCCCCGCAAGCACCGTTCTGACACACCTGGTGCTTGGGGAGTTGAGTGACGGGCCACTGGGCTGGAGTTTCCATCAGAAGCTTTGAACAGTGACACAACCAACAACATCAACCTGTTCACCTGGCGTTGAGCCTTACCGCAAGGCCGATGCCAACCCCAAAGCCTTTATTTTCATTTCAGCTTACACACAACACTGGAGTTTGCCTTTAGTGAGCAACTCCATCTCTTTTTGTTTCTTTTTTTTCTTCTTCTTTTTTTTAGTGGGAAACACTCACAATATGGCCAAATGAATTGCATTTTTCTTTCGGATAGTGCAGTCACAGTGTAGCCCTCCTCATTCACCGTTTATCGTGTAAAGTATTGCACACCGTAGCCGAGCTTGGACTGCTGGCGTAATTGTCTGTAGCCATGGTATCAACAAAACTGTAAATCATTTCATGTAATAATGCCAATGAGCTCCTAGTCATGTGACGTGCGTGAGGGTGGCTAGTAAACACTAGATTGTGTGTTTTTACATGCAGGTCATTCAGTATTTGAGCAGTAAAAACTGTTCCTGGTTGGTGTATTTTGTATCACTGCTGTATTACTAAACTAGGAACAACCTGCTCTACGTCGAATGATGGGAATGGTTATGAAAAGCGTAGTTTTATTGATGACAGATGGAACCGGTTCATTTGTTCAGTTAGTTGGTGCATGGACTGTTTCAGGAACTTCAGTTAATGGGTTTGAACTAATTATTCATATTTCAGATAACCATTTTTTCTTAGTGTCAAGTTTGTTTTCATTAAAATGTCAGAAACACCTTTCTTGTTTAGCAATGCCACAGAACATGGTTGTGTAGCACAATGACATGTTTCATTCATTTTAACAAGCAATGTAGCAGTATTTTCCCTCACTTTTCCCTAATATTGCCTTAATATGCTAAACTGCACAAGCGTTCCACATGTCTGCACACTGCCAGGTGTTTGTATTCTTCAAATGATCTGTGTTTATTTTTTGTTGATTCTGCTTATTTATTGGCCTGCTTAAGTTCACTTTTTAAGGTTTGTGGTATAACTTGCGTGTTTATTGTCTGAGTTGTTCAGTCCAGAAATGATCTTGTATGCTCTTGATAACAAGTCATCTTGTGCGAGTTCTGCCTTGTGTGGATTTGCTATTATTTTAGACATGCAGTGTCCATTAGTACAACAGTGACAACTCCCATTAAAAGCATAACCGAATTTATAACTTTAGCATAACTTGCTAAAGTTAACTCCAACTCCAAACCTCTGCTATGCATGGCTCAAATAAAGAAGTTCAAAGGACCAGCCTGGTAGAGGCTCATTTTTCATTCACAAGCCAGTTTGATTTCGTCTCTTTGTTGTCTTTACATTCGAACAGCTCATAGTTCAAATCTCAGTACAAACTTTTCCTCTCGCTGTCCTGTAGATATTTTTTCTTTGACAGAACCAAATCAGTCCTAACTAGTAATTCAGTATAGGCACGGCTGTTACTTTGTGTTCTGTTCCTCATTAAAAAGCAAGCTCTCATCCCTCTTAACACTCGCCCAGATAAATATGAGGATGGCAAATGCCAAACATGAATCATTTGTTATTCATGTCTCCTGATGAGAATTGTGTTGCCATGCTATTAGAAGTAATATCCTGTTAGCTGCTAGTGGCTTCAGCTGTCTGCCGATGGTATTCATAATGCCTCTGAAGGGATGTTAATGTAATTTTTAAATGTGTGTGTAAATATTTTATTGAAAGATGTTATTGTTATGGACTTGCATCGTTACCTTTTTGGAATAAAGAAAATGTACAATTATTGCAACTGTCATTCAATGTCTTTTTTATTTTATTTATTTATTTTTTTTAGATAATACATGCTTTAATAATGAGCTTTCACCTCACACTAGCTTTAGATTTTGTCAGCATATACAACAGTTTGTTTGTTTGTTGAAATCGAAACTGGCCTGGAACTATTGAATTAAACAGTTTATGACCTTGGCACATTGTAACACATTAAAGGCATACTAGGAACTGTTTTTTTTTTTTTTTTTAGTTTTAGTTTTTCCTAGAATCTTGTACCTTATTGAGCACTTAGTACTTAAGTATCGTCTTCATAACTATTTTCCTGTAACTATACTAAATAGGCTATACAATTGGATTTATTACTTGCCGTTTCAAATTTTCAGAAAGTGCAGCTCCAGAAACTTAGAATATTTTATATGTAATAATAGTTGTAATGCCTTGAGTTTTTGTTTAATCTTTACCCTTTTAGTCTAATTTTTGCTCTTTTTGAATGAATAATCCTGCTCAAGTCGATCGCACACCTTATGAAAAAAATTAATAAATAAATAAAAATGTTCGCATTTGACCAGTGGATGGCAGTATTGTCAAAACAATACATGATTGTTTGCATTGTGACAGTAATGGGATCAGGCCCAGCTCTTAGGAATTAACTATCACAGAATAGTGATAGAAATTACATTAATGTTGTATGTGAAATACAAATTTTGGGGAGACACTTTTAATGAAAATGTGTTTGGTATTAACACTTCACAGGTTGAAAAAAAGACTTGAAGTTGATTTAAATTCCTAACCCTAACCCAAGAGGCTCAGACAGGTGTACCATACTTGAAAATGAGCTTAGGCACAGCTGTTCTACTAACAAATTTATGCCTGGATCGAAATCTGAATCTTATAATCGCTAAGAGTTGCATAACTTTAATGGTCATCGTGCAGATTAAGCCCATGTGTGTGTGTGTGTGTGTGTGGTACATAAAATGATGCTTTTCATTACCACATTTCCGTTCCATAAAGATATAAAACACAAAACCCAATACATGGTTTAGGATGTGGTAGAATTAGTTTCTTCAGAAAGTTACGACAATAAAAAGGGAGGAAACATGGTATTTTCCACTTCTGTCATAAAATATGTAATAAAACTGACAGAACCATCCTGAAAACAACATTTGAAGGATATCCTTTAAATGTATAAATTATTACTTTACAGTAGGGACAAAAACTAGCGGTTATGGCAGAACTCTGACTTTGGCGGAACTGTGGTCACCATGGTAACCTGTGTTCAGCCGGACAGGGCAGGGAAGTAAAGGGTTAAAGAGGGTTTTTTCCTGTGCTGCTGCGCTAGTCTTTTTGTTCAGTCTTTCTCTAGCGCGACAACGAACGTACTGACAGCTGTTCAACGGGATCTTCCTTACGACTTGACACAAAAGAGGTAAAGGATTTTCACTTGTATCTAAAATGTTAGTACAGAAAGTATTACAAGTGATTTAACTGTCTGCTGGCCTGAAGTAGTGGCAGTAAGTTAATCTAAACTTATTAGTAAATGAGGTCTTGAGGAGCTTTGTACCTTATTCGCGTTTTCTACCATAGTAAACTAGTTCTGTGCTATTTTAAGTGTGTTTTTGTTCTTTGTATATAGTTTAAAATGTTCGCTGATGTGGCATTGGCAGTTTGTGCCGTTCTCACTGCGTTCCTGTGAACAGTCGCAAACAGCTGAATTTGACGCGACTTAACCCTCCGTTCATACGCACGTCAATGCATTGCAGCTGTGGTTTCGCAAGTTTTAATGTTGATTAGGCTTGTGTAGAAACTCGGAAGTCCATGTTGATCAACAAGTTGTCTGCGTTGAAACAGTGAGTAGGGAGACTGGCTCGTTGGTTTTAAAAAGCAAAAAGTAGCATTGCAGTAGTCGCGTGGAGTGTAGGCACAACTCTTTGTATTAGCTTTGTATGTTCCCACGGTCCTGGAACACCTGTAAATATGAGGGAACTTTAAAATTGTGATTTCGAGGCCTGGGCATGTCATGGAATGGAATTAAATAAAATTTTATGGAAAGTCATATATACAAAGTTGGGTAACAACTGATTACATGTAATCTGGATAACGTAATCAGATTCCAAAAATTAGGTAGGCTACTCGTAATTAGATTGAAGTACATTTTAAAATACTTGTAATCAGATTACAGTTACTTTTTGTTGATTTGATTACATATTTTATCTTTCAAACACATTAAAATACACATTCACGTTATTTCTTATTTACTTGTAATTCAGGCATTCCCAATTTTTTTGTTGCTGTTGTTTTTTGTTGTTTTTATCTGAACTGAGATTTTAAAATAAACAATTTAATAATTAAATATCAAATTTGCATGTTCACGGTTCTCTGAAGTTGGTTAATGGTCACATAACATGCAGGTAAACATAAAATATTTCATTTTTTAGTAAGTGTTTTATTTTAATTGATGTTATTTTAATTTAACTTTTTTATGATTTAATTAATTGTAAGCTTTTCATTGAACTCACAAACAAATGAACCTGCAGTTGATTTAAACAAGTTAGGTCAAAAGTAATCAAAGTAGTCTGATTATATTACTTAAATTTGTGTAATGTAATGGAATAGAGAGAGAGAGAGAGAGAGAGCTAGTGCATTCTCAGTATTGCCGCAGGGGGCGCAAATGTGCATTAGCATAAATGTTTTTACGGTAAGTTTTCTCTTCAAGTACCATTAATTTGAACAATTTGTAAAATAAAAAAAAAGAAGGAAGAGAATCTTACTAAGCAAGTTCATTAAAACCAGTATATTTATTTCAAATTACCTCAATAACACATCTTGTTTAATGGCTCAGACATTTGAACGCAAAGCCAGAAACATAGCCTACTTTACGCAAATACTTAAGTCGTGAACGCTTGGCCAGTGTAATATATACATGATGTGCATATGGTTCGTTCAAGTCATGTTGGAAAGATTGAATTTATGAGTTGAATGCACATGAACACCAGTTTTCAAGTTGGGGGTGTGTCAGTGAGAAAATGCGTCCATATTGACTGTAAATTTGTTAAAATGAAGTTATTTTTCCCAATTTACAGTAAAACTAAATTGCATCTATGAAATATAAGTGTTGTACTACAATTTATTGATTCAATTTACCAGACATAAATTGAACAAAAACATAATATTTGTTCATCATTTTGTAGAAGCAGAGTTTTAAAATCATGCAGAATTTTTTGTAGAAAAGGTACATCGCCATCTTGCACCAAAGTGACTTGAACGCATCTTGCATCGTAATTATGGCTTCCCAACTCCCAACGTCCCAGCAGGTCTAGAATGTACCAGTAGCCCTAGTGGTGACAAATCTAAAGAGACGATAGAGTTAAATGTGTCCTGCGATTAAACAGGATGTGTTATTATTCAGGTAAGTTGCTATAAACATATTGACTTTAGGAAACCTGTTTAGCAAGATTCTGTTCAATTTGTTGTTCTGCCACGGTACTATACTTCTCCTGAACGTAAAACTAACGGAAAAACATAAACAAGATTTAATAAATACATTCTAGGATATTAGGGTCACTGGTCTGCTGTCAGGACTGCGACATCTGTCTGTAATGAAAGCAAAGATGTGGAAATAGGTCAGAACTGAGTTGGGGCTAAGCAGTGGATGCTTCTTCAGGTCCATAAAAGGTTAAAGGCTGACAGACCTCCCAGGACGTGTCTCTGACTGGAATGAGCCCACAGAGAGAGAGAGAGAGAGAGGGCCAGGATACAGATGTTCCCCTTCTTTTACTTTGACTTTTCCTAGCTGGAAAACTCCTGCTCTAGGAGCCAGCTAAATGTGAGATGCCACTATGTGTTTGAGAGCTGCTTTGCCAAGACAGGCCTGCAGCAGAAACTTAATAGGCAGCTCTTTTTCATAAGGAACATTTAGGTTTGGGGGCTTTCTAAAAAAAAGATTTAATGTGCAACAACATTCCTTGTTGTAACTTAGCTTTCATATATCAGTACACACTGCATTTGGTGTGTTATTCAATAAACTAATTTTCAGTTTCATAATTTCTTTAGGCTTATATAAGGTGTTTAAAGCTGTCATGAAACGAAAATTCAATGTTATAGATTTTATTGTGGAAAAATTAATCTGTGCAAATGTTTCATTTGTAAGTTTATTTATTATCAGGGATGCATGATATTATCGGACTGATATCGGAATCGGCCGATAATAGCTTTAAATGTAAATATCGGCATCAGCCCGATATGAAAAATTATGCCGATAAGTCTTGCCGATAAGAGGAATACATGAACTCACATGTGCTCAGGGAGTGCTAGTGATTAGATCACATCAGCTCATTCTTGAAGCAAATTTTTGCCTGAATGGTGATTAGATTCACTGCTTTGGATCGCTGCATTTAAACTGAGAAAGCACGTACAGAATGATGTATTTGGTGTATGATAGAGTAAACAGTAATAGCACGTGCAGCGGTAGCCTACCCCGGGTCCTTACGCCCATTCGGTAAGGAGCTTTAATCTGTAGGGGGCGCTGTTGGCCTACTTCTAATTAAATGAAAAGTAAAATAGCCTACACAAATAACATTTAGACTGTTTCTGATTAAATAAAGCAGTAATTGATGTCATAAATTAGTATGTTTTGATTTAAAGGTCAGAAGCTATAGCTTACATGAAAAAAAATCACAAACATGACACTTGTAAATTAAATAGTTTTATATATACGGATTTATTCATTAATGTGTAATATGTTTTATTTTTAAAACAAATCATAAGCTCTAAAAGATTTTCAGAATTTTTACAACTCTTTTGCTTTAGACCATCAACAAATGTTAAAAATGCAGTGATTGAATATAGTTTATTTATAGTTATTTTCAAAGCTTCAATGTACTGTCAAAAAAACCTTCATTCTTGTTTATTTAATTCTAACAAATAAGTTTTTGTTAAAAACTAACCAAAATGTAAAATATATTTTGCTTATAATTTCTGCACAGGAGAGACTTGGTGTTGTTTCCAAACAAAAGGAAATATATCGGTATCGGTATCGGCCAAAATGAGTTGAAAAATATCGGCATATCGGCAAAAATTCAATATCGTGCATCCCTATTTATTATTATTATCATTTTATTTTTATTTTTGTAACATTTAATCAAAGTCTTTTCTCTCTGGTGACGTATGCAGGGCTCATTTAGGGTGTGTTCAAACTTGTAGGCTGGTTCTTGGTTCTTTTGGTACAGATCAAAAAAGAAAATGATAGAGTCCTGGTTCATTAAGCATTCACACTGTCATTTATAACAACTAACCTAAAGATACAAAACAAAAGGCACAAGGATTCATACGGTCACAATCTGTGGCCGGTTGCATAAAAGCTTAGACTAGTCTTACAAGTTAGTCCTCTGAGCAATCATTTTAGGGTGTTTTCACACTTTTTTCGAATGCCTGGCTCTAACCTGAGTTTGATTGATCCCCCGGTCCATTGCACCCACTGGATTGTGTTTACACCATGTTTTTTGGTTTCTAAACCACACTCTCAGACAGAGCTGGGTAGTAACTGATTACATGTGATCTGGATTAGGTAATCAAATTTCAAAAATGAAGTACTTGTTATTAGAGTCTATTACATTTTGTAATGCTCATAATCAGATTACAGGCTTTGGCTGTGTAATGTCATTGTTGTTTTCATGTTTATTAATCTTTGATCACATAATGCAGGGATTCCCAAACATTTTTGTCAGCCGCACCCCTTTGACATGAAATATTTACTTGAAATATCTCTGAGGAAATTCATATTTCAACCATTTAACAACACATTTACATGTTTTCCGTTCAAACTAAGTATATTTCTATTTTCAGTTTTCAAGAGGTAAATTCATTTGATATTTTTTGATTAAATGAATTATTAGCTTCTTATCAACTCGCAAACCCACTGCAGTTCTTACATTAAGCCTAGTTTGAGAAACCCTGGTGTTATGGTATAATGTTTAATGCATTTTATGATGTTGATAAAAAAAACTCTGTTTTTTTATATCAATATTGTACGTTTAATGGTACGTTTAAGTTAGATAAAAAGTAATAAAGTCATCTAAACAGTAGTCAGAATACATTGCCTAAATGAATAACCTAGATTACATTACTAACTACAGTTTTCATCATGTAATCTATAATCAGTAATGGTCTACAATTTGTAAGCAATCTACCCAGCTTTGCGCTCAGAAATAAAAGTATGAAAGCTGTCACTGAGGTGGTACCTATTGGTAACTTAAAGGTACATATTAGTGACTAAAATGTATAAAAGAGTTCCTTTTGAAAAGGTACTCGGTAGGGGTGGGAATCACCAGAGGACCCACAATACGATATTATCATGATACTTGTGTCACGATACAATATTATTGCGATGTTCTGCGATATATTACAATTTATTACCCTTTTCCAACTTCA